TAATGGCGTGCGAAACGACCAACCGTAGCGAAAGTTACCACTCGTCGAAACAGGCCGTTTCAAAATTATATTAAATTATATTCCATATGGACAATTTCTGCAAATTACCAAAAGGTTCTAACTGATGTTTAACTGTTTATGGATGGAAGGACCAATTCCGCAAGAAACGTTTGAAATAAGGGTACAAATGCCAATTTTAAAATGATATGGACCAGTTTAGCGAAGAGTGTAAACGTTGGGGACCATTTATGCAAATTACCATGAAATTTATTTTCTTTTTCTTTCTTATTAGTGTCCAAGGTTGCCGCCGAGTCCTCTTTCCAAACATGTTAATGTATACTTTTCCTTGAAAATTTTGTGTTTAAGCATACAAAAATATTCGACTTACTACATTCTAATACTAGTAAAATGATGTACAATCTCTTCATCTCGATAGGCTTTATTCACCATGAGAATGATTGGTCCCGTTACAGATGAAGGCACTGATCTCAGGACAATCTTTTCTACCTGAAATCCACTCGTGTAATCGGGACGACAATAAAATAGCCACAAACAAAGAATTACTTGAGATAACAAAATAACGGATGTGATGTGTTCATGTATGTGAAAGAATAGGCTTTTTATTATTTGGTACTTCGACTCTAGCTAATAACATTGACTGTGCAAAGGAACAATCACTGTCATAAGTCCAAGAGTGAACTCTCGTAAACGCTGTTCTTTGTTGAGTTGACTGGAAAAAAGCATTTTTAGCTTAGAACTATGCTATGAGTACAGGGAAATTTCACAGAATACATACAGAAATTTGAAATGAATGGACTGAATTCAAACATGGAGGAGGGAAAACACAGATACTTGCACATGATTTTTCCAATTCAAAATTCTGTACAAAATCAGGCAACATTTCCAGTACTTAAGGAATTATTCTTTAGCTTAAGCTTAAAATGTTCACCATAAGTAAGTTTTAAAATATATAATTTTTTTATTCGTTGAAGTTGGAAATAAATTGTGCCGCGATTGGTGAAACAGTCTCTCTCCCTAATATTTTTATGTTGATAGTAAGTTAATAGTTACTTTCTGGTCATTAAGAAAAAAGTAACATATCCAAACATCTTTGGGAACAAAAAGTTACCTTGACTTCTTTTTAGGCTCAGCCAAACATGCTCTTAGTTACTAAATTCAAAGCACACTATAGACAAAATCATTAAGCATGAAGAACTAAACATTAACTAACCTGAACGTTTTGAGGGAATATTTGAAGAAGGGCCTCAGTATTCTTCAGTCACTCTCTTGGCTCTAATAAGTGTAGCTTTAAGCCTTAAACCCCATATAGTCTTACCATCTTCCCTAACGAAAACCACAAAGAATATTTAGCAAAAAAAAATCGGCCGACAGAAATTCGACGAAGAAAAAAGGTACCTTCAGTTCCTCGAAGGCCTCTCTCTTGCCAAGCTAGAAGTTCATTCCCGATTGCTCTTCATTCTATCAGGTTCCAGCCTGATAGGTCCACCTGATGGATGCCGATGACAAGAGCTCCATTAGATCACTCCAAGAGATGACATTTTTTCACTCTATATTTTCTGTAAGCCAAAAACTCCTCCAACAGCTTCAAATGCATTAAGAAACCTAAACAGATAATCCATTAAAATAAGCATTGTTTCATCACCAATAACAAAGCTGATTTGTTATTAGGTGTGAACTCTAAAACAAATCTTATATAGAAGTCATTAGAATCATTTGAATATTTCTTTGATCGATAACTTTCCGTTATTCTAGTACTACCTTTTGAACTTTAATGCAGAATCTACCTGCTTAAGAGAATAAATGCATAGTCCTCAAGCCCAGTCTCAGAAAGGCGCCACTGCAGATTAACATTTTTTTTCAACGGTGGGGGTTGAAATACGAGGCGTACTGTTGGAATATTAAAACCAAATAACCAGCAAAAGCACAGCAAACCAGTAGCTTCACCAGATGTTCACCAGCAGCTCCTTGCAGTAGCACAGCAGATCACCTTCAGGCAGCAGCTTCACCAGCTTACCAGAACACGTTCCAGCTCACCTTCAGTTCACCAGTTCACGTGTTCAGTTCCACTTCTTCCAGCTTCAGATTCTAGTTTATTCTAGTATCTTCTTAAGTTTGTTATCTTGTTAGTTAGTTAATTGGTTAGCTTTTTCTTCTATAAATAGAGTTCTTAAGCATTGTAATTCTGAAGNCTCTACTATAAATAGAGTTCTTATGCTTTGTAATTCTGAAGTAAGTAGAATGATATTTCATCTTCTTCCCTGCTGTATTTGAGCAGGCTTTATCCCGGTTCCTCTGCATTTTCTCTGTTGTTTTAGTTCTCTGTTATTTTTGTTCAATAAATTCAGCTCCATTTCAGCTTTCTTCCTTGATTTTATCACGTACTCTTTTCGAAATTTCAGTTTCAGCCTGGCAAGATTCTGAACCCCAACAAGTATTCCCCTCTTCTCAAATGAATTTCCGTTTGCTTTTGATTTTGACATTTTGTTGAGTTTTTTTCTTTAATAATTGAATTATGTTGTCAATCACAAATAAGGATTAGCTCAAAAAGACAGATTAAGAGTAGGAAAGGACTGAAATGCAGGTCAATGTGCCAATTATTATTATTATTATTATTATTATTATTATTATTATTCAGCATGATGCATCTAATACTCATTCCTGTCTCTGTTCTCTCAAATTATTTTATCGACTTAGAAAATGCAATTTTCTTTTGCATAAAGATGAAAATTTGGAGTTGGAAACGTGAAGGCTACATTGCAATTTCAACCTTCAGATTCCGCGGTTACAAATGCTGGTTAGTGATATTGGATTGCACTAATTGAATTTCCATGACAGGTCCCGAGGGGCTTGTTTTTGTTTACCAATATTTATTGATTGGAATTCCTGTTTTAGCGGTTGATGTTCCTAAGGTGTTGGACAATGGCCTTTTAGCTTTCACTCCACTGCATAACGAACAGAAATTTCTATATTAAAAGTTTAATCAGCTGGTCATTTAGGTTATGTTCGTCTATGTAAAACTGCTATTTTTCCATTCTGACACCATTAAATCTAGGATGTATCCTTTGCGATGGTGGCCAGGGGAGGAATAAAATAGACTGCACCACTAGCAGAAGTCTGCAAACTCTCTCAATTACACTTGTTTAAGGGAGTTGAACATCTTTTCCAGCAGCAAGCTACGGTCGAACGACCCCCTACCAGACCCAGGGAAACTCAGAATGCAGAGACTTACTTTTTGGGTAACAAAAGAAACTTCCAAGATTTTTATAAAACCTTCATTCCCCCTTTCATGACTGAGAGAGACTGTTAAATAGAACCACAAATCAGTGTCTGTTGTTTCGACCACTGTTTTATATCTTGTATGGATGGTTGCTGAGATTCTAATTCCTTATAAGCTAATCGGTCTTTTGATGGTTTTTACAAGATGCAACGTATTTATTTTTTCATACATGGCCGCCCTAAATTTGATGGAAATAAGGCTTAGTTTGTTACCTTTATTGTTTTCGATTTCTTGTGGTAAATTCTCGAAATTCATTGTGCCTTTTGCATACCATCTTTTGGTGTTCATTAAGTGCAATATGTATTTACATAGTTTCCATGAATTGCACTAAAAAAATGGAAATGAAATGGAATTTCCTTGTGATATGAAACTGGCTTGAATGTTTCTACAATCCATGTTATTGCTCTCTGATGTCCAAACTGAACTTGTAGACGAACCATGAAGATGGTGCTGATTCAAATGACTTCCAAGAATTGGAAGATAAAGCTAATCTAAAGCCTCCATCCAATTTCATGTCTCTCCTGCAAGTCTAGAGAGAAACGATTTTATATGGAGACGGAAATACTGTCTGATATTGAAGCTAGAAAAAGAGAAAAACGAGTTGCTCCAGAAAGTTTCAGATTCGTCTGCAGAGATCTCTTCTGGGAAGGAAAAATACATTCGGTTGCAGGCAGATTTTGATAATCACAGAAAAAGATTGGAAAAGAGAGATTATGGTTAAGGAGTGATGTCCAGGGAGAAGTCATTGAACCTGTTGCCTATGGTTGACAGTTTTGGGAGAGCCAAGCAACAGATCATACTAGAAACAGAAAAAGAAAAGAAGATTGATGAAAGTTACCAGGGTATGTATAAGCAATTTGTGGAGATCATGAGGAGCTTTCTCGTGGCTGCTGTTCCTACACATGGGTAGGGTTAGTCTCAGATGTACTTTTTCTTCACAGTTTTGATGTTGCATGCGTATATAAACAGCTAAACTGCTATTTAATTACTTGACCTTCCCTTACCACGTGGTGCTGGTTTCATCTTCTCACTCTTTTGCAAAATTGCAACCATTTTTTCTTTTATAATTTCAAGCCTGGTTAACAACATAAGTTTAATTTGCTGTTAAAGGTGAATGGACCTAGATGATAGTGGAAAAGTTTCCCTTGTATCACATTATACTGTGCTACACAAGACTTCATGTATATATTCATTTCACTACTTTTCTGCTGTCTATTTTTATCATGTTGCAACACTTGCTGCCAATAATGCAAGCTGCCCTTCACCAATGTCAAGTTTTCGAAAGGCATCGTTGAAGACCTTAAACTCCTTGAAGCTGGGATTTCGGCCAGCATTGTCTTAAAGTTCAATTGACAGGCTCATTTCCATCTACTCCAAGAGGATTTCTTACCATCAATAGTTTTTGATACTTCGTATTCTACATAAGCCAAGTTTGTAACGTTTTGATTCATATTCCGTCACTTGGTTTGGATTACTAGATCATTGGATCATCGTAGTGTTTTACTATGAATGCCCGGGTATGCCTGGAGCAGTTATACTCACAATTTTAATCATTACAAATATATTTACCTGATCATAAAAAAACAACCCAGTTACAAACAAAACCTTTTGTTTATAAGACATTCCTTCTGCCTTAAATGTTTAGGTTACCCTTAATTTAAAAAGCAATTGCCACGTTTATCTTCTTCCTCCCCCCGTCCCCACCCCTGACCTCTGCGGACTGCGTACAAGCCACCCTGCACCCCCCAGGCTCTCCTGAGTTGCTCTCAATTTCCTTACTCCAGAGCTACTCAGTAGATTCTCGAGGTCCCAAGTAAGAACTGAAAAAATGGGAGGAGTCGTGGGTGGCAGAAGGGAGGCAGGGAGTAAGAAGAGAAAGAAGGGGATGAATGGTTGTACGACACTATTCTGTAGTTAGTTCAGGGAGCACTCTCCACGTCTTGTATGCCATCTCTTAACCATAATTCTGCCTGATACAGATGCACGAAGATATTGCTCGTGAGGAGTTGCAAGTGTTCAAGGAGGGAAGTGGAACACAAGAACTTTGCCGGGGTTCCTTCTTGGAGACCGCCTATTAAGACCTGCAATGGTCAAGGTAGTCTGGAGAAGAACAGTGCTTTGGCGTTTGAACATAGTTGATAAAGTAGTCAATTATCTTGTAACTTGTTATTGATGAATTGCTATTTGAAAACTACTCTTTTGCTTTGAAACAGAATTGAGATTTGCTCTGAAACAAAGTGTTTCAATGTACATTCATTTTGAATATCGTCAAATGAACTTGTCCTCGCATAATTTCTGACCCAGCCCTGCTAAAGAGGAAAAGTTTCTATTCTGTATCTACATCCTGACAGAATTGGAAATTTAAATCACTTCAAATGCTGGTACAATATCTATATCCTTCAGGTGCAATCTGGGAGGCCGCAAGAGAAAATACTAAGTGGTAATTACATGAAACCATACTTTAAGTTTTTAAACTTCTAAAATCAGATTGGAAGTTTAATATTTTCAAAATCAGATATTTTATTTTTAAATATTAAATAGTAATTATATATATTTTTTATCCAAAACCCTAATTATATCATTTTCATCATTCATCCATTCTCTCTCCTCTCTCACTCTCACTGTAACCGCCGACCTCATCCTATCCCTGTCTCCGACACTCTCTCCTCCATTTTCTCCTCCCTCTCCGGCAG